AAATGAAATCAAAAACTTTCAGGATGACGGCTGTAGGACTGCTTCCGAGCTCATGCCGGTTCAGGTGGGACCACACGCATTCACGTACAAGTCGAGCTATTGGCCCAGTTTACAGCGGTGCTTAAAAAGAGAGTTGGTTTTGCAGGATGATGGATGCAGAACTGCCTCCGAACCGACACCAAGAGCGGTAAGAAATACGATGAACTAAATATTATGTACAAAGCAGTTCTGCCCTTCTGGCGAATTATCCTGATGTCAAATATTTCGCTGTGACACCTTTTGGTTTACTGTGTGGCTGTCTGTGAATTAAGTAAGGAGCCATAAAAATGATATCTTGACCGGAAGAGAACTGAGACGCAATAGTGGTTTTCCATATCCATTCATTCTCATTCGAGCAGCCCATTCACTCTGTTGTCATTCACCTGCTCATACGAAACATGAAGAGGCAAATGACAAAATGAGATGGTCTATGCTCCATATTCTTATCGGCCACCGAGTAATGACACCTTTCAGCACTTAACGCGTTTCACTATGCGCAACTAATTACGCGATATCACGGCCACAGGTATGTCTGAGAAAGTCATTCAAGCGTACTGTCTAGTACCACGTGGTGGTGATCCATGTTACCACGTGACAGGTAAAAAAGGGACAATGATGAGCATGATATGAGCATGACAGAGATGCACCCGGAGAAATAAGGGAAGCCTTCCGTATAAATTATTGATTTGTAAGGAAAGTTCTGCAACATTGAAGAACTCCGTTGCTTAAAGCTCGTACAGCCCTAGACAACCAACCGTGAGTTGACCCTAAGCTTAAGCTTAAGGTGCACTCATTCCACAGTATACTGCGCACGGTAAATTGTATACTGTACCAGTCTGATCGCCCGGCTGACGCCGAGCTCTCCTTCTTCTCTTGAGCCGAGCTCCGCCGGGCTAAAGAGATGCCTACCGGTAGACGCTCATGCTCATCTTTCCATTACCATGCAGTCCACTCGCTGAAGTCCCATAAATGATTGCAGGTACTAATATTTGGGCAACGTTATACATTTTTCCTACTCCCTTACAGGACACATCGTTGCTGGGGAATCTCCAATAGGGGGGTCGTAATTTGGGTAGCGAGCTGCCAGGAAAGGGGGGGGGGGGGTATCGTCTTTAGGTTGCGGAAAAATTTATTTTTATTGACTGAATTTTTTCGCTTCACGGACCATTATAAGGGGGTCGTATCTTGGTCATTGTTGGGAGGGGGGGAGTGGGGTATCATCTCGCGGCTTTTTCCTGTTAAGATCGCATAGTGAAGGGTCGTCCAGTTCGACAAAATCCCCAACTTATGGTGTGCCCTGCTCCCTTATCAAGCGTCATTCAGTAACTGAAAGCTAAAAGTAAAGAAATGTCACTGATATCTCACATTACTAAATTTTTTGATCTCGATTTTCCCTGTGTTTCCTGTTTCAGCCAAGCTAGGTATCCCCCCCTCTCGCTCGACATCATTACATGCATATAACGCATATAATGTTGAGGCTCCAGCACTTCGGCTGAACAAGTGCGGAGCAACGTTTCTTATGCGCCCTTATCAGTTGTTATCACTGTCTGTCCACAAGCCGCCTCACCCATCGTGACATTCCTCATCACCCCCCCCTCCTCCCCATGTCACTTGCTGGAATCAGGCCGCCGTATCTGTGGCCTGTGTCTTTCGTCGGTGGGATACGGGGCGTCCTTCCCCATTCTGACTCCCCTCATCAAGTCTTATCAGCAGCTCACAGTTCTGTCACATACTGTCCTATTTCATGTCTTGGAATCAGCACCTACTGCTGCCTTCCGCTATGAAGTATGGTGACCTTCCCATTCTAACTTATGAGTATGGTGACCTTCCCATTCTAACTCCCCTTATCAAATCTTATCAGCTGCTAGCACTTCTTGTCACCCACCAATAATAATCGTGTGCCATAGCCTATACCATACCTTGGAACTAACGTCCCACTATTGCTGTGACCCGCGCTCTGGATCGTGCCCCTCCCTTCTTGACGCCTCTTATTTCAGACTCTTGTTCAGCCGATATCACTCCCTAACCACCAATCACGGAACTAACGTCCTGCTATTGTTATGACCCGCGTTATGGATATGGTGACCTCCCAATTCTAACGCCTGTTATCGGATCTTATCAACTGATATCACTTCCTGTCACCCACCAATAGTGTTCCCGTCACCCCTACGTCACTTCTTGAAATCAATGTCTCACTGCTACTGGGACCGGCGCTATGAATTTCGTGACGACACAGACAGACGCACACACACACGGACATAGCGGATTATATATAGTAGGATGGGAAGATATCTTGTCTTTTTGTGCAAGGTCACATGTGAACTTTACTCATAAGCCCAGATATTTTTTACTCTACTACAGCCACGCCCCCCTTAGGCGCAGAGATTTGGGGCAAAGGGCGTAGGTTGAATCGCTGGACCTAATAACTGAAAGATCTAGTTTAATCCACTATTTGCACAAGTTACAAGGTAACTGTAAATTGCGAAGGACTTTTCACAGTGCACAAGGAAAACTTGTACCACTGGAAATTCCTTCGAAGACTTAAACTGTTTCTAAAAATTTCATGAAAAGTCCGTTCGCCACATATGGTGGACACGGTCCCAAGTAGACATCCCGGTGTCCACCACCAGTGGTGGGCATTGTCCGCATGGATTGAGGATAAATAGCGATAGCTATAACATTATTCAAAAATTCAAAGAAAAAAAAGAGTTAGGGACGACATGCCGTTCAGCTGAATGTTTATGAGCGATGCTGCGTGTAAGGAGAGCGTAAAGATTCACGGTAGTTTACGAGAAAAGGTACGGCAAGCTCAAAGGAAACGTTTGTTTCCTGAGTGAATTGAAATTCCTGAGGTGAAGATGAAGGTTTTTCGCTTATATTCAAAAGAGATACAACATACGAAAGCAGGTTTGTCCTTCTATGTCACATTGCCTGGTTGGTTTTCCGATCCTGAAAATGAAACGAATAGTTAGATTGCCATATTTCAGGCCTGATGGGTGCCGAACTTGCTTCAGAGCCCTCACCCAAAATGGTAGGTTGTTCTTATGTGTCCAGCAGATAGTTTCGTATGTATCAGACTACTGATCACATTATTATAGGATGATGGATGTAGGACTGCATCCGAGCCTACGCCGAAAGCGGTGAGAATTTGCGCTTCAATGTTCTGCAGTCGTATCCTCTCAATGACTCGAATGCGACAGTGCAAATTGCAATCCTCTTAAATCAGCTTGGGCAAAACCACCATTTAAGAATTAAGAGAGAGTCCGCGTTGACTCAGCGCTCAGAGGCCCTTCTTTGCAGAGCGGTTCTCAGTGTCCATAACAACGTCCCTGCTCTCCAGCGGTGAGCAGTCTCCTTCGCGATCGCCGTCGTTCCTGTTCATCTTCGCTTGTTGATACAAATGACAAGAAATAACAATTTTCTTGTTCCTCCCGCTTACACCTTTTCCCGTTTTTTTTTTTCACTGCGTGGCTATTAGCAGCATGACACTCGGTGTGTCGAACCTCACTTCTTCGAACAAAACGATCGCGGCACTGCCGTTATAATCCTTTTTAACTTGCATAGTGAACCTGTTTTGCTGCAGCACGGTTCACGAATTTCTTTATAGCAAAGGAACAGAAAGTGCAGGTTTGATCCTACTCTCTAGATGTCATGTTATTCTTTGAAAAGTCCATCACCTTTTAGCCGTTTGTTAGCGCCTGGTGCGCGCTATTTTACGACTTACGTAAAACTGACTTGGCTTCCTTTGCGTACAAGCCTGATCGGAAAATTTCTTTCTGATCCCATGGCCTTGCTTCGCCTTGCAGTTTTCTCTCCCTGTTCCTTGATGTTTCTTTTGCTTGAATGCAGTATAAAATGCTAAACCGCACCACTGGTAACAAACTAATGGTAAGATTTCATCGCAAGTGTTACCGCCCCCTGTGTTTGATTGTATGTGCAAACAGAACCGTGCGAGGAATAGTTTGTGTTCTGAAAAACGCAACCTATGCGAACCCAGCCCATTCATAATTCGGTTCCAAGCGGTCCCATCAGAGAGAAAAGTATTGAACTTGGCATTGTCGCTGGACATCAAGACACACACTTCATAATTTAGATAGGCAAGCAAACGAACAATTCGGGGAGCCTAAAGTTCCTGAAAACGATTCTGCCCAGCACTCCAGATAACGTCAATAGGGTGTATTAAGGTAGCAAGCGGTCACCCGATGGTACTAGGTGGAAAGGCATAGTCAAAGTGAGCTGGGAAGTCAAAAGATTTCGTGTTTTTGTCCCATAACAGCTATGGATTACGCCGAGGAAAAAACGAGTTGAACAGTGAACAGTGAAGAAGAGGGATATGTGGAGAGCGCACACGCGGAATGGGTGAGCGTGCACAGAGGTGACGGTGCCAAAGTCGACCCAGAGACTGGAAAAAGGAGCAATGGTATGAAATAGATTGAATGAAATGCGAAATGACACGCTCATAGTGGGTGGAACATGCGAGCTATTGGTTGCTTGGCGTTAACTATTGTACAGATGAAAGAGAATCTTGGTATTAGTTAGGTATCCAAACATACGAAAGAAGCTACGCGCGACGAAGCCGCGGCGCCTCGGCAAAGCCGTGCTGTATCACAGAGCGAGGAGAGCTGGCATCAGCCGGCGCGCCTCTGTGATACACTGGTTCAAAATGGGAAGTATACGCCAAGAGGCATCTTAGGACCTTGATTTGAAATCTGCCCTTCAATTCACCTAAACATTCTCCCTCACAAGGATATAGAGGTTTGTTGGACCGACCAACGCTCATTCACAGCACTATTCAACAAGTGTGTTGGTGGTTCGTGAACGAGCGTTGTTCTCCTAAACCAAATCAGGTGATATTCTTGTGCTTTCCTTACATTCTAAGCATAGATGTGACCGAAGAACCTCCGTGACCTTGCTTGGGGAATAGTTCGAATTCGAAGGCACCTTTGAAAATCTTCGTTCAAATGCGTATCAGACGGTATGCATTGATTTCGAAGGACCATTCCAACGTGCTATCTTTCTCGTGTGAATGAGGGGAAGTATATTACTCCAGAACTTGTGATCGAATAGTTATTCTTCAGGAGCACGATAGGCGCACTGCTGTGAAATACACTGCAATGCCGGTAAGCTTCATAACGCTTCAAAATCTTGCTTTTCTCCTGATTCTTGAAGTAACGTGAATATAATTACA